TCTCTCGGTGCTACAAAGTGTATTTACAAATTGCATCTCACAATAGCACAGATTATACTAATTGATTGCTTCTCTATGATGGATGAGAACACAAATGAAAGCTTACAACTCTCACCAACCCAAATATACTATGTATGAAAATACAATAAGCTCAAGTGGGTGTGTGTGTGTCAACAATGAGTAAAATCAAAACTAAACTCAATATAATTCTAGCTTAATAGAAATGATAATCAACAAATAATTATAAATAAAAGCTAGAGTTGAGTTTAGGAAAACTTCTCTAGATGACAAGAGAGAGAGATGAATTGAATGCCCAAAATACAATTGATAATCTCCTCAAGCTCTTCTAAAACTTTCTTCATAAACCAAACCCTTAAACAAGCTTAAAACAAGCTTAAACTCTTTTTAAAACTCTTTAAAACATTCTCTTGTTGTATATAGAGCTGAAGGTAAAAGGGGGTATTTATACAAACCCCAAAGCCAAGAGAAAGCCAAGAAAAAGACCAAAAAACCACACTGCAACGGCTCTGGAAACTAGCCGTTGGAACTGATCTGACAGAGCGGCGGTCGACCCCGGCGGTCGACCGCGAACAACAAAAAATCAACAGAACGGTCGATCGCGAAAGTCTCTGGACTGCGTTCGGTCGACCGTCACGGTCGACCGCGAGCCATAAAAACAAAATCTGAGTTCTGAACTCATGGGCGGTCGACCGCGAATAGACACTACAGAAAACATGTTTTGAAACAGATTTTGAGACTTTTAGAAAATTGTTAAAAATAACAAATGAAGTCCAAAAATAATGAAACTTTGGGAAATATATATAAACATGTAAATGAACATGTTAAAAAAAGAATTTTCCAAATTGTATTTCCCATTTGTGAAAAATCATCATTTTGCAAAAATAGTCCAAAACCCAAAAATGTAAACATATGAATTTTGACATTTTGGCTAAACCATGTTTTGAAACTTTGCACAATGATTATGTAGACTTAATAAAATATGTATATGATTATTGTTAAGTCCAAAAACTAAGAATACAATGTTTTTATAAATACAATAGAAAACTCAAAAACACATGTATGTATATATATAACTATATATATGCATAGAAACCAAAACTTATGTATATATATATAACTATATATATATACGAAGAAACCAATAAATGTGTGTGTATAGATAATTGAGCTTAAGGTACTAACACACATAATATAAACCTAAACTAAGTTACCCAAGCTTGATCTTGATCTTCAATAGATAGACTTGGTAATCTTACGGATGAAGCTTGAACTTGGATCTTGAATTTAAATTGCATTGCTTCAACCACTATATCTGCCATCCTCCATTTGATATGATCGTTATAGCTCGATTCCATCCAACCTCCAACACGTTGTTTGCCTAGAATAAATACGAAATTTGATATGATCGTTATAGCTCGATTCCATCCAACCTCCAACACGTTGTTTGCCTAGAATAAATACGAAAACACAAACACTAGACAAACAACATTAGAAGTAAATTATTTGTTAAACATCATCAAAACAAGAAGGCCAACAGTTGTTACTCATAATAACAATATTAGATATTATTTTTAAAGATTATATGAGGAGTATGTAGGTAGATATGATGTAAGTACACAAAAACCTACAGCTTATGCTTCTACGAGTTCAAGTTAGAGAAAATGTAAGAGTTTTGATAGGCAATTAATGATAGCAAACTAACTGGTAGCCATGCATCTAAATCTGGATCATCATCAAGGGAGCTCTCTGAAATTGAAAAATATTTGTCTGCACCTTTAGTTAAAACTCAAAATAATGATTTTAGTATTTTTACAATAGTGGAGAGTATGTGGAACAATTTTATATCTTATACTTTCTTGTATGACCCGTGACTTACTAGCAGTAGATGTTTCTACAATAGCTTCAGAATCCGTCTTCTGCACATCAAGACGTTTGATCGAAGATCACAGAACATCGCTAGATCCATCTACCATACAGGTGATAATGTGCCTACAAGTTTGGTGGAGGTCCGAGAAGAGAACTCAAGGCATTAACCATATGGCTAATATTAAAGATAAACTTGATGAATTGACAATATAATATAGAGATAAAGAGTAAAATTTGGTCAAATTACTCATTAGTTTGTAATTTTTACTTCTTAGCTGTAAATTTTTAATAAATTATTTAAAAAAAAGTTGCAAATGACTGTTATTCAGGTTGTTAGTGATTAATAATAAAGAATTATTTTTATTATTTTAATTTCTATGATATTGTATTTGTAAATTGTATAATTAAAAGTAATTAATAATATGATTGATTTTTATCAAAATTTTACATATTTTATTTTTAATTACGCTTAAATTTTTTTACCAAAAAACTAATTTTTAAGCAAAAAATAAAAATAAAAATAAATCGGGCTGGCCCGGTGCTCAGCATGGTGCCTAGCTCGTTCGAGCCCCTATCAGGACCAACCGAACCAGGGTCCGGGTACCCCTTTTTGCCTGACCTGGACCCAGTTTGCCGGGCTGGGCCAGGCCAGCCTGGTTGGACACCCTTATGTGAGCATAAATTTTAGAGTAATTTCACCAAATCCTTCCCCAAACTCTGACTGTTATTCAGATGACCCCCTTAAATTAAAAAATTGACACCCCCTCCCCTCTTTTAACTTTAAAAAATGATAACCCCCCCTCCCTTAAATTAAACCCTTTTTGAGATAACCACCTAAATTTTAAAAATGCCATTTACTTCCCCTAACTAACAACAGTAGCCTAATTGTGTCGTATGTGAAAATGATCATAATGTCCCTAATTGAGGGAAACCTTTTTCATGTTTTTAAAAAATAATTTAAAACATAATTTCAAAAAATGCTCTAGTTGGTGTTAGTGATTTGATTATTTTATTTAATTTAATAAAATAAACATAATGTTAACTTGACAATGTATTTTTATGTTTTTACAGGATTATCTAACCTGTTCTTTTTTTTTGGGTTGGGGGTGGTGATGGTGGTGTTGTTAAATTAGATTGCATATTCAATACTTAAATTATAGTATTTGCATTATTGAATGTTGTATATCCCAGGGCGGATCCATGTGTACCAAATTGGTGCCAAATGACACCAGTTTGGTATGGGATCCCTAAGATCCACCCTCAAATTACCTTATACCCAACTCCGTATCCCCATTAAAAACAAAAAAGATGCTCCTTTCTCCGATAAACTTCTGCGGTAAAAAAAACCAATGCCTTTCCGCCTCAATCAAATTGCCGTAGTCGGAATGCCTCCGATGCTTCTATCGCATCTAACCCTCCTCCTTCTCCTCTTCTTTCCTATGAGGCTTCACACTTCTCCGTGAATCGCCCTTCGCTGATTCTGGAAGCCCACGATCTCGTCCTCCTCCTCCGCCTATGAAGACTCGCTGACCTCACTCCTCTTCCTAAAGTTGGTTCTTGGTGTTTTCTCTAATTCTATTTGTGTTTAGAATTTAGGGCTTTTTTGGGGAGTTTTAACATTAGGTTATTAATTAGATGATCATTGATTTTTAACATTGAGATGTTAATTTTTAATCATTGAGTTGTCCATTGGGTGTTTTTTTGGTTTTTTTTTTGTTTTTTTGTTTTTTTGTTTTTTTTTTGTGTGTGTGTGTGTGTGTGTGTGTGTTTAGAATTTAGCTCTCATATACTCTTTATAGATAATTATCTAAGTCTTTGATATTTAGTTCTTACTTGGATAATTGCAATCCCTATTTAGACAAGTTATCATATAGATATTTGTCAAAATGTTGTATGCATGGATCAGATAGAAAATCAGCAAATACCTAGTTTAGATAACAAGCATTGTATGATTGGCTGCTAAAGTATGAAGCAGAAACAAGAATTAGCTTACAGGGATGAAGAGTAATCCATTAATTCTTACATAACCTGCATAATTCTACAAGTCATTTAAAAGTTCAGCTCTCAAGCTACTAAACACTTTTAACATTGAAATTATTTGATTTTGATTATGACAAATATGAAAACTCATATTAGTGCATGTTTTACCCACTTAATAATTTTATTATGATAAATATAAAAACTCATCAGTAGGGGTGTGCAACGGTCGGTTCGGTTCAGTTTTTACCAAAATTTGAACAACCGAACCGAACCGTCTATAATTTAAAACCGAACCGAACTGTTACAAGTCGGTTCGGTGCTGTTCGGTTCGGTTTGTTCGGTTCTAACTTCATCAAACTTTTTATCAAACAACAAACCGTGTTAAAGAAAAAAAAGATATCAACAAAGTAGGAGATTATGAAGCATTAAACAGTGATATAATGATATTGTTTTCAACCCATAATGATTTAGAAAATGAGTTTAGGGTTTGAGTCTTTGACTCTTTGGGGACGGGTCGGGTAGAGTTTAAGATCACAATGGGTAGTATTGCACTATATTCGGTCGGTTCGGGTCGGTTCGGGTTAAAAAGTTTTCAAACCGACTCGAACCGTCCTACTCATAAAACCGATTTTTTCGGGTCGGTTCGGTTTGGTTCGGTCGGTTTTTTCGGTTTGGACCGAACCATGCTCAGCCCTACTCATCAGGAACAATTACATATTAATTTATATAAGTATTAATTATATAGTGACACCACTTTATAAAAATCCTGGATCCGCCACTCTATGTATTTATAATAGGCTCGCACACATATTTGTGAGCATGGGTGTCTTGCCGAGGCTGTAATACATAGAAGGTTAACATATTAACAAGTTACACATATTTGTGAGCATGGGTGTCTTGCCGAGGCTGTAATACATAGAAGGTTAACATATTAACAAGTTACACCTACATATAAAAGTCTCCATAATTAATCACTACGTACGCGCAATCAAATGTGAAGTAAATTGTAAGTTCAGACGTAGACAACAACATCTCAATATTATAAACCCTGTACGATTTTCATATGACCAACACTTGAAACATGTTTCAAAAATAGAGACTAAATTAGATTCCGATAGCATCGTGAGGGAATATTACCCTCGCGTCTTGTATGACCAAAGTTCTGACATTACTCTTTTGGTAATCTCATTTTATGGTGCCAAACAGAGCAGCCTTACCTTTATTCATTTTTGTCACACACAGTATTTGGATATTTTTGAATCCAATCACACACACACACACAAAGCACACGTGCTATGCATATGCATACATGCATCACATAGCTTATTCTCAAACCGTTACATCTTGAAACTCACAATGACTAATCACCACCAACATGAAGCTAATACGGCCACTCGCCCTCTACGTTTCCTTTGGGATAATACTCACAGACTACATAAATGGCACCTCCATCGCACTTCTTGTATGCACACCCAATCTTCTTGGTTTTCCCCCAAACGACCTGTTTATAATGCCCACATTCTTTTCCGTGGTCGCAACTGTTGTCTTTATAGTGATAATACTTCTTCTCAGAAGTCCATGAGTGCACGACATCCCACTCATCGTAACGATCGTGTTTCCCCCAAAATATGTTCTCGCCGTAGTCACCATGAGAATAGCTTATTGGCTTGCAGTTTCCCATTTGTTTCTTGGCGTAGTCTTTGGCGTAGGACTCTAGTTCAGAGTCCCATTTCACGGGATTTACCCCTACCTTTTTGCGCGCCGCGTTGTGAGCGTCAACGAAGTCTTTGCGAGAGTAGTGGGCGGTGGTTAATTGGATTGTCATGAGGAGGAGAGCTAGAGCTAGAGCTAGATGGGATGAGTAGGCCATTCGATTTTCTTGAAGTGTTTGTGACGGATGAGAGATGAAGAGGTTACTTTGATATTTATAGCTTTTAATTTGGAAGAGCATGAATTGGTAATTTTGCCTTGATGAAATTTGTCAATTCCAAGATACATTAATTATTTTGTTTTGAAGATTTCTCTCAACGTGCTCGACGAATGTTTCCTTTACATGAATTTAAGTATTTAACTAACCCGGCCTTCTTTCTTTTGTTTTGCAAGTAGGTTAGTATATCGTTATCCTTCTATACATGAGCTCATTAAGATGCACGTCACTAGCTTCTAAATTAATTTGGCAAAAAAAAAACTTTGTTTAACGAATCGATCTGAATAAGTAGCAGCTATAGGGTAGCCTGCCGGCTTTGAATAAGCTGTTTTAGAAAAAAAAAGTAAGTTGCTTTTTTCAAAAAATAAAAACAAGTTGTTTGAAGTTACAAATCAATAATCTTAATTTTCTAAATTAATGCATGTATCTGTTGACTGTTTGACTGGCTCCCAGCCATTGGATTCATCTAGATCCAATGGACTATATTGGTTTTTAGTTTTTAGGATAGTGAGGTTTTTATTAGAACCTCACCCTATATATATATATATATATAGGGTGAGATTCTAATAAAAACATCCTTAGCCTAAAAACAAAAAACCATTGTGGGTCATTGGATCTATCTCATCCAATGGCTGAGATTAGAGCTTATACTGTAGTGAATTCAGATTCAGTTTTGACAATAAATGCCATTATTAAAGAGTGCAATAAATTTGTCTGTCATTAAAGAGTGTAATAAATACCATTATTCTTCAAAAAACAAACACCTCACATAACTGAATCTGGATTCACTGCAATAAATACCATTATTCTTCAAAAAATAAACACCTCAAATAACTGAATCTGGATTCATTACAGTGAATCGAGATTCACTCACATAACTGAATCTGGATTCACTGCAGTGAATCGAGATTCACTATAGTGAATCTAGATTCACTCATATATAGGGTGAGGATTTCCAGTTGAAAAAACGAAGACACGTATGAGTGAATCTCGATTCACTGTAGTGAATCCAGATTTAGTTATGTGAGGTGTTTGTTTTTTGAAGAATAATGGCATTTATTGCAGTGAATCCAGATTCCGTTATGTGAGGTGTTTGTTTTTTGAAGAATAATGGCATTTATTGCACTCTTTAATGGCAGACAAATTTATTGTATATATATATATAGGGAGAGGTTCTAATAAAAACCTAGAGAACTAAAAACCAATCCTAACCCTACATTGTATTTCATCCAATGGCCTAGATTTCGATAGCAGAATTGTAAATATAGATAAATTTAATACACTGCATTAATGTGAAAAGGGTAAAATTGGAACAATTCATTGCATTAATGGTGACTGATTACATTGGAACAATGATACAAATTTAATACACGTCCTTTAATACTCTCTCTTACATTAATAGTGCTACATTCTTTAATACTCTCTCTCTCTAACTCGCTTCCCGATCTCTGTAAATCTCACATGAAGAACACAACAACGCATTGAATCTGGATTCACTGAATTGATCTTCAATCCATATTCACTCCAACGAATTGAATCTGGATTAACTCCAATCGATTTGCTGCTCCACTGGATTTGTGAATCATTCTAACCATCCAAGCAGAATAAGAAACTTATGGTAAAAAACAAGCTATAAAATTTTATAACATGAAAAATTTTCACCTTTTACAGCAAAAAGTTATGATTTTTATGGTAAAAAACAAACACCTCACATAATTGAATCTGGATTCACTGCAGTGAATCGAGATTCACTGAAGTGAATCTAGATTCACTCATGCGTTTATTGAAGTAAAAACAAGCTGGATTCACTGCAGTGAATCGAGATTCACTGAAGTGAATCTAGATTCACTCATGCGTTTATTGAAGTAAAAACAAGCTGGATTCACTGCAGTGAATCGAGATTCACTCATGCATTTATAGAACGTGTTTGATGATTTTAAGCAAAAAGTTACAATTTTTATGGTAAAAACAAACACCTCACATAACTGAATCTGGATTCACTACAGTGAATTCAATTATTTAGGACAGCAAAAATCGACGATTCACTGCAGTGAATCTCGATTCACTGCAGTGAATTCAATTATTTAGGACAGCAACTAAAACAAACCCCACAACTAAAATTCTGAACTTTAACCAATTTTAACAAAAAAACTAACAGGATTGCAATTTCTAAAATATTTTAATAGAAACCCTAAAAAAGATTGCAAATTTTGAAAGATAATCCAACAAAACAAACAACCAAGATCGAGTATAAGAGAAACCCCAAGCTAAAACAAATCCTAGAACCAAGATCGCAACTTCAACAATTACCCTAAAAAGAAACCAAAATCAAATTGAAATTAAAGAAAAACGTGACGAACCGAGGGGGTGCTCGAGCTTGAAGGAACTCTTGGCCATGGATCCCCTCTTTCTATCATCCCCAATACATGACGAGAACAAAACCATGATCAGATCAAAAGAAAATAACACCTACCAAGAATCAAATCAAACTTAGAATATAACCTACCAAGAAAATATAACACCTACCAAGAAAATAACACCTACCAAGAGAGAGGGGGCTGGTTCAAGCTTTTGGGAAATGGAGTACACACTGGTTAGTTTTGTTCCTTTCATAAGTACATCTTCTTTTAGTAGACTAAGCTTAGCTCTTTTGATAATTAAAAACGTATACTTCAAGAAACTTCACCCAAGTGGATTAATTAGATAACAATAGTATTATACTATTACCTCAAAATTCTTATATTGGTACGTGCATAAGAACACATTGCCCGCATATATTAGCAACAAGGAGCATGTCACAATGACATTACATGTTTATATTTGCAACTTGCATTTTAATTGAGGAGTTGTTCCATTCAAAGCTGATCAGATCATTTCATTTCCACTAGTTAATCTACCTCCAAATTCATAATCCTTATCACTCTGTTAATAAAGTTTGTTTTCTTAGATTTTAGAAGGTAGGGATGTACGTCTCAGTGAGCTCATATACTGACCTACTTGCAAAAAAGAAGGGTTAAATTGCAGAGGCTGAAACATTCCTTGAAGACGTTGAGAGAATTTTTCATAGCAAATAATTAATTCATAAGTTGATAAAATCTGAGCTAGTCAGCAACGAGAGGGGGAAGAAGAGACCAACGCATATTTTTTTGTTGATGTTAAGTAATCACACAATCAATTATACGGGTTGAATGGGGGTGAGATTGATGAGGGGCCACTTCTTTCCCCGATTATCCAGTTCTAAGTTGAGTGGCTGAAACCTGCATATATAGAGACTCGTGAGAGGACGGGGACTGGTTTCCCCGTGGTTCCTCTGACGATCAAGTTAGCTGATAAACTTGAGTGGGGAAAGTAAAGAATTATGAGAGTTCTTGTGTGTACAATATAATTTGCAGATATATCTTAGAAGATTAGATCTCTGGAAAAAGATCCAAAAGTTTAAACGTCCATTTTTCGTTAGAATAGTACCTCTATTTATAGTGGTGCCGAAAGGGTAGAATTGTCACTTCGGTCGAGCACAACATGGCGGTGAAGAAGTATGGGCAACTCAGAACTGGATATTCGGGGAAGGAATTGGCCCCTCATATCTCTTATCCCCATCCAAACCGTATAATTGATCGTGTGATCACTTAATGTCAACAAGAAGAATATGCATTGGTTCCCTCCCCCCTCCTTGCTGACTAGCTCAGATTTTGTCAACTTCTGAATAAATTAACTATGAAAAATTCTCTCAACGTGTTCAAGGAATGTTTCAGCTTCTGCAATTTAACCCTTCTTTTTTGCAAGTAGGTCAGTATATGAGCTCATTGAGATGTACATCCCTACCTTCTAAATTCTAAGAAAACAAACTTTATTAACTGTGTGATATAAGGATTATGAATTTGGAGGTAGATTAACTAGTAGAAATGGAATGATCTAATCAGCTTTGAATGGAACAACTCCTCAATTAAAATGCAAGTTGCAAATATAAACATGTAATGTCATTGTGACATGCTCCTTGTTGCTAGTAGATGCGGTCAATGTGTTCTTATGCATGTACCAATATAAGAAATTTGAGGTAATAGTATAATACTATTGTTATCTAATTAATCCACTTGCGTTAAGTTTCTTGACATAGAGGCTCGAGGTTGAAGCCGTCATGTAGCTTCACGAGAAGTAACGCCTTTTGAGTCGTCTTCGTGAGGTGTCGAATAGCAGGTCGAGCGGGCTCGTAGTGAGTTGTCTTCAACAAGAGGACCGACAAGTTCCGCCATTTGAGTCAACATGAAGGATTGTCGACTCAGCGAGTCAGCCAAGTTAGAATCTTTGTTGTTCTTGGACCATCAATTTGATTGGGGCATTGCATGCTGAAGTACACCTGTTTGTTGCTGGCAAAGGTTTTCACTTTGGCGATTGAAGACACCATAAAAATTGGCCCCTTTCGCTTGGAGTCGGCTTTAGCCGTGTCCGAGTGAAATGAGAGTCGCTTTGGACGGATATGGGTGTGCATTAAATGTGAGAACTGAAAAGTCCCATCAGATTTGCGTGCTTGATGTTTCCACATTCTTTTTGATTGCCACAACTCCATTTTTCTTGGCAAATTGCGGGCTATTCGAGGTGAGTGGGCTATGCCTTGATCTCTGAGATGCCGCTTCGAATTCTAATAATTAATCTTGACCGTTGGCCAGAATTTGATTCAGCGGCCTAAATTCTGGCAGTTGTGGGTCCATCTTCCTATATATAGAGCTAAAGCCAGAGAGATGGCGATTATTTCCTTTTAAAATTCCCTTTAGAGAACTCAAGACCTTTCCTGTTCATCTTTCTCCGATGATCATTTCTGTAATCTTTGATGGCATTTGATCATGTTGATCGACGAGCTCTCCTGGCGGGGCTTCACTCCAAAGTGACCCAGGCACAGATGAAGGCGCTCCACGGGAGGTTTGATATCCCTCGGGAGTATGATCTAATGGTCTCGATGAGGTCAG